TGGAACACGCGTATCGTTCCCCAGAACCCTCAGCTGACCCTGCCAAGCACCGAGGCGCCGTGGGCTGGCAGCTGAAAATCCCTCAGAGGAAAATCTTGGTGTTTCTTACGGCTGCCGGGTCGCGATTCCTGAAGCTGGAAGTGATTGGGAAGAAAGCCTGGATTAAGGCAACTGGCTGTTTGATATTCTGCAGAACCAGGGACGCATTTATTGTATTGTAATTGTATCGGGTGTGTTCAAATGTTGACTAGCGCATAGTCGTGAAATTGGGGATCAAAATATGTGGAAGAATTTATAGAGAAATAAATACCGACCTAAGTTGCAGATGAAAAATTGAAATGGTCTAAGAAGACCTATTTGTTAGGGGAACCGAGGGGTTGAAGCTTTCTAGGTGACAGCAGGAAGATAAAGGCTGCTGCCATACAGCAAAGGTTATTGTAGGAACAAGTCGGGGAGCGTTTATTCTCCTTTTGCAGAGTGCATCTCTCCCTCCCCATGTGCTGTCTCTTGTTACCCGGCCCTTTATTAAGGTAGCTTATGTTTGTCTCACAAATTGAATGCATCATTTTTTTCTCCGTAATCTTTTTGCTGGTCTGGTGAGTTGGAGCTGGCTTGCAGCGGTGTTGGACGAGCACCGGAGCGAGCGTGTGTGAAGCGGTATGTGTGTGTCAGGGAGTAAGAACGGGAGGGGCAGAGCCTTCCCCTGTTGGCAGCAGGGAACTGTTCAGGCAGACCACCCTACCATGTGGGTTGGATTGTCCTCTGGTTGGTAGAAGAAATTAAAAATTGGTATCTGTCTGTATGGATGCTGCTTTGTATCTGGATAGGTTTGTTAGGGTCTGATGAAGGAAAGTGTTTAATGAATCGAGACTTGACTACTGCTGGCAAGAAATCAGGAAATTACTTCAGGCTTAACAGTGTGCCCCCATGCTTCTCTCAGCATTTGTACACCCTGCAGTTTGTTCTTTGCTTCACTTTCTTTGTCTTCCATTTCAAAATAGTCCAGTATTTGGAAATAATAAAGAGCTTTGTTGAAAACACTGAATTTTTCTGTGCTGGATAAGGCAGAAAAGCTCTGCTCCATAAAGACGAACCCGGGTGGTACCATCTCTTAGCAAAGCTGCTTACACTAACAGCACCCTGCAGAAAATGCACTGGCACTTCTGAGGCCGTGTTGTTTTGTTGGGATGAGTCCTCTTCCCCGGGTGCAGGGCTTACAACGCAGCTGCGCCCATTTGCCGTGGGCTGGAAGCAGAGGGAGGGTTGTTCACACTGCCTAAGGGACACGACCATCTCGGCCAAAGGCTAAGTAGGTCTCACCTTCCTGAGCGCTGGTGATTCCTGTCTTCCCTCCCAGACCGTTTCTGTGGGGCTCTGGATCTGAAAGGCACTGCCTTGTCTCCGTCTCCTTTAACAGGAATAAAAAATGCCAAATATTCACCCAGCTGTGGAAGATGGCTCAGGTGCTGAGGTTTTACGACCCTGTTAGGTAGCCCATAGTTAAATGTTGATGGATGTCTTGTAGCAATGGGTGTTGTGCAGAAGGGTTGGAAGGCTCTTCTGAAGCTGATGGTGATTTTTACAGAGAAGGCAGAGAGATTACTGCCTCGGCCTTCAGTTTTCATTTTTCCTTCCTTTTTTTTTTCTTTTCAGTTGATTTCGCAAAGTTGTAAATTCGTGTTAGTGGTTATAATCTTGTAGCTGTCCCAGCACGAATCATAATCAGAAATCAAGAGCATTTATTCATTCTTTTCCCCCTGACTTTTCTCATTTGTAATTGCTCTTAACATTCATTTGATAAAAGGGAAGGCGGTCTTGCACCCAGACCATATCTTTTTCTACTTTTTTCACAAATTACACATGTATTTTCATACATGATTTTTGCTTGACACCGAAATTGTAGCAGCCTGACTAAACAGTCTTCCAGTTGCAAGCCTACGGTAAGGAACCGACACAGGAGGTGGTGGGAGAAGGAGAGAGGGAAAGATTAGAGGGGAGTTCAAAATTTCTATAAGATTATAATCGCAAATGAGTGAAGAGCAAAGGCAGATAGAAAACAACTGAAAAGGTCATGCAAAAGGGTAAGTATCAAAGTACAGACTCTTCGCTGTATGGAGCGGTGGAGGTGGTGTCCATTCGAATCCTTTTCATGCAGCTTTGTTTTCAGATATGTTAGTACAGAGCTTTGGTGGAAGGCAAATAGCAGCTGTAATCTTCTGTTGATTTGTGCTTTCTCTGTTTGCAGGCTGAGGTGGAAGAAACACTGAAGCGAATTCAGAGCCAAAAAGGAGTGCAAGGAATCATTGTTGTTAATTCTGAAGGTACCACGTCGGTCTCGCTTTTCTGGGGTATAACTTACCCTGAACATGCGCTTTCAGGACCGCTGATTGTGTTTAGGTTACAGTCGGTCTTGAGCAAAGATTTTGCTGTAGTCAAAGCAGATACACAATAGTTAGGCTACAGGAGGAAATGGGACTCCCGTTTCTGCTTTTCTGCAAGCTTGCTTTATTATTTTAGGAAATAAATAAAATAAATTGCAAAAGCTTAGAAATATTTGAGTTATGCCAGTGTTTGAGGCTGCCTTCTGTCAAAGCCTTTATCCATAGCAGGAAAAGCTCTCCTGCCATCTGAAACCTTGCTGCTGTGCATGTCCAGAATGCTGCAAGCTCAAGCAGCTCAGCAGCTCTTGTGCCCGTGGCCTCGGGACGCTCACAAGCTGGTTCTCTCTCTTTGGAATCATTGAAGGGTCCAGCAGAACGGGCTTGTTCAGAGTGCGCTAAATACACTGTGAGCAGCCCAACTCCTTAAAATTGTGTGATTATCAATTTAAGTTGAATATTTCCCAGAAATAATCCTCAGAAAAGATGGCAGATAGTAGCTCTATATGCATATATTGAAGCTCAGGTCACTGCATACTTGCATGCAGCTTGTGCTCCTGCTGGCTGCCCTCTCACAAGAGCGAATAATGGATTGGGCTCTCCAGGCTGAAGCTGCGCTTATTTGGATGTCCACCTGCAGCAGTTTTTCTGCCGTGCCAGCATTTGGTAGTTGGCTGCTGCGTTGTTCTGACACGAGTTGAATTTTGGCTGGCTTTTTGTGGGAGAACCTATTATCTACTGGGTGGCAGCAGTATCAGGGAGTGAGAGCTCGGGCCAAACAGTGTCAGTGTGCCTGCCCTCTTGGCTGGTGCGCAGGGATTGAACCAGGCACCTCACAGGACTGCATCAGCTCTTAGGGCTAAATACTGGGGCCTCAGCTTTGTAACTCTGCATGGCAGCTGATGTCCTCTGTAACCAGCACCGATCCCAGCCTTGCTTACTTGAATGTTATTTAACGGTGATGTTCAGGAGCCTTTCTGGAAGGAAAAGGTGTCCCCAGTCAGGAGAACAACATTGAAATGTTGGTATTTCCTCTCCCTCCAGCCCCCCGTTTGTTTGTGTTACTATTTGTTTCTATTCATAAACGAATACATGAAAAAGCAAAAGAAAAGCACTGCTGCTACCAGAAGTAAACAGTTCTTCTCACCTGCACCTGTAGTTCCAGTTCTTGGCCTTTCCACATCTTATTTCTGTTTGTGTTGTTCTTTTAAGCCCTTAAAAAGACCACTCCTAATCCCTGGTGTAGCAACAACACCTGAGGTTGAACAGAGGCCCCAGTTGGACCTGATGATGCCCAGGGTGGAGTTAGTTCAGGAGTTTTATTGCTGACCCTTGCTGTCCCCTGTTTCTTGCAGGTATTCCTATCAAAAGTACTATGGACAACTCCACAACGATTCAGTACGCAGGCCTCATGCACAGCTTCATCATGAAAGCGAGGAGCACTGTGCGAGACATTGATCCCCAAAATGACCTCACATTCCTGCGGATCCGTTCCAAGAAAAACGAAATCATGGTTGCACCAGGTAAAACTGAGCAGGATGAAAGTGGGCATCAGGGAGTCCAGCAGAATTCTTTTCTCCCAAGGCTGATGCTGTCAGCCCGAGGGAAAAGGTCTGCCTGCAGCTTTTATTCGCGTTGTGTCATCTCCTCTTTTCCGGGAAGCTGTTTTGCTTCCTTCAGAGTTGCAAGCTTTTACCATTGGCCTAAGTTTGCTTTTTCACATCTGACTGTGGGAAGTCACTTTCCTTGCTTCATGTTGATCAAAGCAGAAGGTGTTAAATAGCGCTTGAGAATGCGTTGCCGCCTCTCACGCTTTGTGTTTTTCGGTACACAGCCACAAGAGCTGGAAGGGAATGTGTTTCGAGAGCAATTTCAGTTCAGCACTGCAGATTAAGTGATAAAGCAAAACAGTCTGATGGATTTTCCAGTTCGGAGAAGAGTGACAGATCGTACTGTAGCTATAGTCCTGAGTTGTAGAATGTAGCAGCAGCAGCCTTCTTTTCAGGAAATGTACTCGATATTTCATCAGATTATGAAACAAGAAGCAGTGAGATGAGTACGGTTCTCTAATGTGGCAGGGACTCAGCTTTGTTCCTTCACAGAGCGTTGGCCCCGTGCTGGGGCTGCACTGACGGTGCGGCAAAGGAGGGGATTGCAGTTCAGTGGGCTGCTCCGCAGGGACTGGTCAGGGCAGGTCTTAAGACAGGCCCGGGGGTCTGTGCTGAGGCAGCCTCTGGTTGCCATGGGAAGGATGAAAAGAGAGGAATAAGCATTGCTCCAGAAAAATGCAGCTGTAGCCACTGCAGACCAGCAGCTGCCTGGGTGCTAAGGAAAACCGCATCTTGCACCGCCTGTTTTGATTCCATCATTGTGTGTGCCAGGCACCATTATTTCCTAGGCACATACTGAGGTAAATGGAATTGGCTTGGGAGCGTGCAGTTTCTGAAGCTGAGACTTTTTCTCAGTAAGACTCATAAAAATAAATGATCCTGTTCTGATCATTGAGAATGATTGTCAGGGCTCTCTGGTTCCTGCAGCATATCAGTGAGACAGGAGAAAACATTGAAATTTGCTGTTGCTGTGAACAAAGGTCAGCAATGAAAGAGTAACTTTTGTGGTTTTTTTTTTCCAGATAAAGACTATTTCCTGATCGTCATCCAGAATCCAACTGAATGATTACACTGACTTGGTCTGGTTTTTTTCCCTTTGCCCAACTGTTTTTTTTTTTTTTTTTAATTTAATGGTAATGAATAGAGCATTAGCGTTAACTCCACTGTGCCACTTCAATAATGTCTGGAAACACAAAAGCAGGTGGGTTTGTTGTTTACAAACAGAAAAAGTGGCTTTTTTTGGGTTTTTTTGCATCACAAGTTGTTTTGAGGAGTCGGTGAATTAGAATCAGGCAGTAAAGGAATGCAACAGACTCTTTAATAGTTAAGAAGATAATATAATAAAATTCTAATAATGTTCTAAAAAAGATTATTCTTTGTATGTTTCTGTGCTTCTGCCACCGCCATTTGAGACATGCTTTTACGCTATTGCGTTTGAATGAGTGTAAATATGAAACTTGCCTGTCCTCTGGTTCTGTCTTATTCTGTTGCTTTTACAAGTTACTTTGAAAAAGTCTGGCCACATCAAATTAAAGTGTCATCAGCGACTGGTTTTGTCTCATGTGTTTTCCTTCTGAAGATTTTAATTATTCTCATGTCTGATTGAGTTTTTCTTAAAAAAAGACATAGAACCTTCCTCAGGACTATTTTTACTCATATGTTGTTTTCTCTAACCAGGGATTTAGTCCAAGTGCATGTGCCCCATACTCATAACTGCCTCGTAAGATGGAGCATCGTCCCTCCGCTTCCTTTTGGTTTCAGACAGCAGTGTCATGGCTAAGTAAGGCCGTCGGGACTGCCTGCTGAAGCCCTCATACTGCCAGTTCAGTAGCCAATTTGATCTGGTATCTTCCTTTAGTAATTTTTTATTGGTAGCCATTAAGGACAAAAAAAAAGGCCATCTGGTTCCTCCAAAATAATAAAGGGGCTATTTTCATAGTTATTTGCATGCAGAGCTCAAGGATTTGTGCAAAATGTCTGTACTGAAGATGTTTGTCACGTGCGTGACAGATACAACTCTGGCTTATACGAAAGCATCTTAGCAATGTGCGGAACATCACAGCCCAGATGCAGAAATGGTGCGTGTTGTCTTGCACTGCATTTTCTTTGCGTACTCAGGTAGCTCAGTGCTGCTGCTACAGTGGGGCGTGGTGCTCGGAAAGCCTGGTTCGTTTGTCCCACGGAGAAGGGGCGGCTTGCGGGCAGTGCAGCCACCTGCTTGTGTTTCAGCCTCCTCACACACCTGGCCTCAGACTGATTGCGACAGAAGTGCTGTACCAGCCTGAAAAGAGATTTCTCCCTCAGTGCACCTGAGCAAAGAGGCACAGCCTATGGGCATGAAAGGTACTGTACAGTTAAAGACAGACCCTTGATTTAGTAACCTGACGTTTTATTTGGGGATGCTGTTTCTTGTGCTGGTGAGGGATTGCTCCTGGCTCATCAGTCTCCGTTAGCAGAAGCGTAATAACCTGTGTTTAGTCCTGCTCTTTCAGACTTAGAAGCAGTTGTAGGAACATGTGATACTGTCCAGTTCTACACCGAGGGACAGGCCAAGAATTGGTGGGTGATCTCGGCAGGAATGGGGGTGTTCCAGGCAGTTTTGGAGTCTTTAGTAAAAATGTCAATGTTGACTTGGATGCTTTCCTGGATTTCAGAGCAGAGAGTGATGGGGTGGGTATGTGGTGACTCAAACAGCTAAGGCAACCTGTACATTCAGCATTTTGTCTTCTGTGCGTTTCCAGGCTTGGTCATTAATTTATAGAGTGTGTCTTGTTTTTTAGGTAGTGTTTCTGACTGTGAAGGTCAGAAATGTTTTTTGAGATCTGTACAGCCGTCAGTCTTGCAGCATCTGAGTGAGGGTGCTTTACAGTATTTTGGGTATCTCGGCTGTCACCGTGACTTGGTGTTGGCTGTTACTCAGCGTATGAACTGTTTCCCCCACCAGCGTATGTCTGACCACAGTAAATAGGTGTAGCCCTGGGACCACATTTTGTGCCAAGAAGTGACTGGCGTAAACATCCTTCTCCTAGTTGCAGAAAACCGACAGCTAACTCGCACATTCACTGGCCCTTTTATCATGGAATCATGGTTTAAGCATTGCCATCAAACCAATGAACAGGGCCTGAAATCGTGCTCTGCGTCCGGACTCCTTCCTGACACGCAGCAGCTTATATAATGCATGCAATCTGTCATAATTTAATTGAATGCTGTCTCCAAAAAAATGATCTCCAGCAAGCTGAAGTCTCTGGATAATACCTGAATAGCAAGGCAAGGTGGGAGAAAAAAGTGGCTTCAGTCCTCTGTCTTTTCTTGTACATAGCCAGAGAAACGTTTCCTCGGTGGTGGCGACCTGATTACGTATTTTGGCTTTCCCTAGTAGCTGGCGGTGCTATTCTTTTGAATGGTGAGGAATTTCTTCAGTGTCCTGCGTTCTTAAGGAGAGCCGTCCTACCAGTGGGTTTGTGTCATATCTGAGTTGGGGACAGAGTGCGCTGCGATGGTGGGGTTTTTTAAACAAGCTGTAATAAATAACCCTATTGCAAAACAAAGATCATGCCCGTTGTCTGCATTGTGTTGAGACCATAAACTTGCAGTGAAATGACTGAGTTCCTGCTATATGCTGATTGTTTTGGGGTTTGGAGGGGGTTCTGAGGTTGGTTCAGGGTTTTTTGGGGGTTTGGTTTTTTTTTTTTTTCAAGGACTGTTAGTAGTCTGAGTTGAAATACACTTGGGAATTTGAGCAAAAGGGCCTTGAAGAAGCTGGGTTTGGAGTCTGGAGGAGCTTGTCAAATCCATCTGGTCAGGGCAGGGCCTTGCTTATGCCGTGCTAGCACTACCTTTACAGTAGCATTCAAAGTTAATTCAGGGTTTTGTTTTTAAAAAGGGGGAAGGGTTGGATGAAGTTGAAGAACAACAACTTCCATTTAGATACTATGCAGAAAAGGTGTCAGACTTGGATCAGAAGCATCAGAGAGTCTTAGAGATCTGACTGGAAGCAATCCCTCTGTATGCAAGTTAGGGGAGAATTTCCCTTTTCCTAAGATATCTTAAAGAAAGACATGAAGTTCTACTATTTGTCTGTGTTTGCCGAGTCAGGGCTTGAGTAATTCGTACAGTAAAATTATTGTCCAACTGAGCAATAGAAAAATAAGTGTTATGGTTCTAGTCCTCTCTTTCTAGCCCGAAAGCACGAGGAGATGGTTCCACGGAGGGCTGGAATAACCTTTGTGATCTGTGCCCCAGAGCTGCTCTGTGTTGTGGTTGGAGGCTGGCCTACCTAATTTGCCATCTTGGAGCAGTTGGTTTTGCTGGATCCCTCTCTGAAGGCAGAGGAAGCATGTGGTGCCGAGATGTGGAAAGCAAACCCCAATGTGTTAACAAGCCAATGAAAGAAGTTTGAGGTATGGCTCTGGACTGTGAGCAGCAGCCCCTGAGGCCCAGGGACGTTGCTCTCTTATGCTGACTCTGCTCCCAGATAAGGCTCTGGCAGAGGAATGGAGGTGGTAACATATTAATGCTGCAAAAGCTGGGCTTGTAGAAACTAGTCTTCCGTGGATCTGACAGCAGCTCTTTTAAGCTGCTCCAGCTTGTGTTTGTCCCAGTGCCCTCCCAAGCAACTCTTTGTCTGCCTGAGATGGCTGAGCTCTGATTGCACAGCGCTCCTCATCACATACGGGATGTTTATCTTTGATCTTGTCTCTACGCTTTTGTTACATATAGCTACATCTATAGGGCATGAAAGTCTGGCAGAGAGAGTTACGCCAGTATAGGCTGGCCTTATGTCAGCGGAGCTAGAGCAGCTCCTTGAACCAGTATAATCTGCAGGAAAAGCTGTGGCAGCTGGGGTGCGCAGGGACAGCGAGCTCTGACAAACTCTGCCAGAAGCCTGAGCATCAGCATGATTTCTGTTGACA